AACCCAAATGCCCATCGGTGATATAGACTGGACAGGGAAAATGTGGCACATATACACCATGGGATATTATGCAGCCATCAAAAACGATGAGTTCGTGTCCTTTGTAGGGACATGGATGAACCTGGAAACCATCATTCTCAGCAAACTGACACAAGAGCAGAAAATCAAACACCACATGTTCTCACTCATAGGTTGGTGTTGAACAATGAGAACATATGGACACAGGGAGGGGAGCATCACACACTGGGGTCAGTTGGGGGGAAATGGGGAGGGATAGTGGGGGTGGGTAGGGAGTTGGGAAGAGATAGCATGGGGAGAAATGCCAGATATAGATGAAGGAGAGGAAGGCAGCAAATCACACTGCCATGTGTGTACCTATGCAACAATCTTGCATTTTCTTCACATGTACCCCAATACCTAAAATGCAATAAAAAAATAATGATAATTTTAAAAAAGAAAAAAAAATGCATCATCACAGAAGACAATTTGGAAAAATATATAGGTCCAAAAGAGTAATTAAAAATTACCTCCTTTTATATATTGAAAATAGCATTTTTTTTCTGCTAGTACATATGTGATTGTATATATGCACATATATGAATGGTTTTGATTTTACAAATATGTGGTATGCACTCACATACTTAGAAATGGCAATCATATTATCTGTAATTCACACATTATCCCACTAAATATAAACCATTTTTTTCTCTTATTTACTTAATATTATAAGCATTTTTTCATGTTAAGTGTTCTTTGAAAACACTAACTGCCTGTGTAGTATTCCATTACATCGATGATTCTCAAACTCGCTAGTAAATATCACAGTTACCTTGAGGACTTTAGGAATTCTGAGCCTCACTCCCAGAGTTTCTGAATCAAGAAGTATCAGGTAGAACAAGAATGTGCATTTCTAACAAATTGCCCAATAATGCTGATCTTGCTGGTCTGGGAATTACAGAGTTGTTTACTATGTTATACAAAATTCCCTCATAACTGGATATTTAAATTGTTTTAATTTTTAACATGAAGCCACCCCCAGCTCCACCTGGGGCCTCTCAGAACTCTGGGATTTGTCAGGACCAAGTAGCTGGACCTGGTGTTCAATCTGAATAAAATCTTAATACATGATAATTTTCATTGGAAGTGGAAATAACTGACTAAAAAGTTATGAACCTTTTGGAGACTTAATGTGCATGTCCAAGCTGATCCAAATAACTGATACCTAAGTGTGTTGAAGGAAAAGACATGGGCCTGGAAGTGGGAGGCCTGTGTTTAAATCTTGCCCTGCCACCTGCTTGCTGTCTGACCTTGGACAAGTGACTGTAACTCTCTGAGCCTCAATGCTATAGTTACCACATCAAATATAAACAAGAATGGCCTTCTTTTAAGGTCTTGAACTCAGCCCAAATTCTCCAGCTTCATCTTCTGTCTCAGACAGAATACTGGAGTTGGGAGGAACCCAGGGCTGTATCTTGCACACCATGACGGGTTAGTTTCCCATTCCCTGAGCCTAGGAAGCCTATGCTCACAACTCTCACATCATTCATCACACTACATAAGCAGTTGTTTAAGGGTCAGCCACCTTCTAAGTCAAACCATGAGGTCCTTGAAAGAGATTAGGCCTGTTTCATTTCTGAGTCCCCAGTGGCTACTGCACACACGGCAGACAGTTGCAGAATGCTTATTGACAGAAATTGTGAGGAAGGAGCTCAGCCTCCACCGTTCCCAAGAAGCCCTGGCATGAGATGATGACAAGAAAAGAGCATAGCCCTGTAGCTGGGAGCCTTGGGGTTGCATCTTGGCCCTCCCATCAACTCACTGAGACCTTGAGAAACTGGCTGACCCCCCTCCCAAGTTTCTAAGGGATTCCTTATCCCTAATTACCACACAGGGCTAGTGGGTGAAGATGAGAATGTGGTGTATCATTTAGACCCTAAAGAGTGAAGGCTGGGACTCCTAGAATCCTCCAGCATCACTCTCTGCTCATAAGTGTTTAAATTTCAGATTCTTGACAGGGCATAAGGTCACCCAAAATAATGACAGTGTTTCCTATCCTTCCTCACAGCTAGCAAACACCACATGACTAAGTTCTGAGCGACAGAATAATAGTGGAAAGGGTATGTGCGATTTCTAGGAAGTGTACTCTGGAATCCTGAGGCAATGGATAGAATCTGAACAGTCGTGTTAACAACGAAATGGAATACGGTCGAAAAGACAGATAAAAGGGGCTGTGCACCTTAAAAACTGTGAACTATCCTACCAGTCCTGTTCTATCCCTCTCCAGACTTACAGACACCCAAAAACATCTTTCCTGTTTAAGCTACTCTTAACTTGGGCCAGATTAATCACAGCTGATGTATATGGTTCTGCTCATGCCAATATTTACATTGATTTACAGCTTTACACTTTACAAACCGCTTTCAGGGGAAAGGAGACTATGAATGTAATATTCATTCATTCATTTATATGATGAAACAATAAGCGTCACTGCGTGTCAGGACTTCTGCCACGTGCTAGGAATGGAAATGAATCTGATAAAAACCCCTGCCTTCCATGAGTCCACCACTAGCAAGGGAAATAGATGAAGTCATGACACACTTGAGCTGTGTGGCAATGAGGGAAGCATAGGCAACTGTGGGGTGCCCTATGACCCAGGATCTAGGAAAAGGCATGATGTCCAGGAGGGACAGGAATGGTGGCTGGAGGCGTGGCTGCAGATCCCAGGCTCTGCCTCCAATTGCTAATCCCAGGCTCTTCTGAATCTCCTTGGCTCAATTCCTGTGGAGGCATTAGGGAACCTGTGGCCTGTTTGATTCCTCCCAGTGAGGACCAGATGCTGCTTGAAGAGCTCCCTAGAGCCTTGTTGGGGTAGCTACAGTCTCTGCTTTCTGTAGAGGATGCGACAAGGTGAGCTTCAGACTTGGCATGAAGCCACCCCCACTTGAGGCCTCTTAGGGCTCTGGAATTTGTCAAGACCAAGTACCTGGACCTGGTGTTCCAGGGTGAACATCAGTGGAGCCAGGAGAAGCCGTTCACCTGCGAATGATAACAAAGCCAGCACCAGTGAAGAATGAGTGGCTGCAGACAGACCTCTAACACTGAACAGGGAGGGAAGTGGTGATTTATTCAGCTGGGAGCTGCAGCAGGCAAAGATACCTTAACGACCAAGCTCCCCAGATAGAAAATCCTAGCCCTTTTAAAGGCTTACAATTCTAGAAATTACATGTAAAGGGTCTTGATCCATGAAGTAGGCATGGGATAGGTACGTGACTTAGGTGAGGGTCTGATCATATTTAAGAAAAAGCAATGCCTTCCAGGAAGATTCCTCCATACGAGGAATAGCCTGCAATCTATAGGAGTGGGTGTGATTAAGGGTGGCATGCAGTCTACGAGGCTTTATTTCTCCTACTGAAACGCAATGTAGAGGGCTAGGGGGAAGTGGTCTTAGAAGCTTAAGAGGATTAAGGGTCTCCTTCCTCACCAGCTCCTATTGAATGAGCATTTCTGTGCCAGGCCAAGGGGTCTGTGCTTTACACACTCACTTCATACCTCAATATGACTGTGTGAGGTAATTCTTGCTGTCCCCATTTCACATACACAGAAGCTGAGGCTGGGGAGGGAAAGTGAGTTGCCCAGCCTCACACAACTGTGGCTGCCCTGCCGGGGCCAGGCTCGGATTCACAGCCTGACTTTTCAAGGCTGGGACTTGAGCCCTCATGGATAATTTAGTCTACCACACTTGAGAGTTCCAAGGTCATTGGAAACTCCTGCAGATGTCACCTCACAACTGAGGAAGCAGGGATTCACAATGACAGAGTCTTATCTGGGGTCACCAATGTGCACTCATCACTACTCCAGAGTGTTTTCCCAGAGAAGCTACCAATAGTGTGTGTGTGTGTGTGTGTGTGTGTGTGTGTATGTATGTGTGTGTGTGAGGCTGGTGTGTGCATGTGTGGGTGTGCACCTGCAGGCTGGTGTGTGCATGCATGGGTGTGCACCTGCAGGCTGGTGTGTGCATGCGCAGGTGTGCACCTGCAGGGTGGTGTGTGCATGCACGGGTGTGCACCTATAGGCTGGTGTGTGCATGCACGGGTGTGCACCTGCAGGCTGGTGTGTGCATGCACAGGTGTGCACCTGCAGGGTGTGCACCTGCAGGGTGGTGTGTGCATGTGCGGGTGTGCACCTGCAGGCTGGTGTGTGCATGCACAGGTGTGCACCTGCAGGGTGGTGTGTGCATGTATGGGTGTGCACCTGCAGGCTGGTGTGTGCATGCACGGGTGTGTACCTGCAGGCTGCTGTGTGCATGTATGGGTGTGCACCTGCAGGGTGGTGTGTGCATGTGCAGGTGTGCACCTGCAGTGTGGTGTGTGCATGCGTGGGTGTGCACCTGCAGGGTGGTGTGTGCATGCGTGGGTGTGCGCCTGCAGGGTGGTGTGTGCATGCATGGGTGTGCACCTGTAGGGTGGTGTGTGCATGCGTGGGTGTGCGCCTGCAGGGTGGTGTGTGCATGTGCTAGTGTGCACCTGCTGGACACATCCATGCATGAACTTAACATCAAGACCTGCTTTCTAAACTCAAAACAAACGCCCATGTCTCTAGCATTTGCCACTCTTTTCTCCTGTCTTGTGTAGGTCTTTGTGTGTGAGTGGGTTGTTTTATTTTTATTTTTTCAGCTTTATTGAGGCATAATAAACAAACAAAAATTGCATCTGTTTAAGGAAGATGGTGTGATGACTTGATATATGTATACATTGTGAGATGATTACCACAATCAAGTCAATTAATACATCTATCACTTTACATAGTTACTATTCTGTGATCCACTCTCTTAGCGATTTGTATGTAAACAGTACCGTATTATTAGCCACAGTCACCATGCTGTACATTAGAGTCCAGGACTTACTCATCTTATAACTGCAAGTCTGTACCCTCCTCCTGTCTTGAGAAACCTGTTTGTCCAGGTAGGTAGCAACTGGGCTGTGGGCAGCAACAACAGCTCCCAGCCCTGAGCTGGAGTCTTCCTTACACATCTGACCCTGGGGGCCTGGAGCACTCTGAGCCCACAGCAAGTTCTCTCTGTTCCAGGACCAAATCTGGTAGCAAGGCCAGGTGCTGTCCCTGAGAGGCCTGGCCCTGCAGACTGCAGTGAGATTTCAGGGCCTTTCCGACTGCCTCGCCTGGGAGTGGAGCCAGGGCACATCCATAACCTTCACAGCCCTCCTGGCGCTGTTAGAGCAGCTGTCAGAGGCAAGCAGGAGCTGTCCTACGCCCGGGAAGCTGCGGCCCAGGAGCCTGGAGCAGAGAGTTGAGGCCCCAGGAGATTTGTTCAGGCCAGGCTGCAGAGGGCTGCACAGGTAAGGATTGGCCGGGGCTGGCAGGGATGAAGTTTTAGTGACTAGAGTGTACCATTCTCCTTCATTTGCCTTCCTTTCTTTTCTCCACCCTTGGATTCCTGTTATCACCATACTCAGACCTACTCTCCTACATAGCAATCCTTTCCTCCTGGAATTGAGCATCTAGGCTGTCCACACAGAGTCTTCTTCCACCCCCCACCACCACTATGCCATCTGCCAGGGAAGCACCCTGAGGCCTTGGCCCTGATGGTTGGGAAGGAATGTCCCATGAGGATGGAGAGCACCTCTCCTGGTCCACAAGGGCCCCATGAGTTTCTTCTCCCCTTGTACCCAGTGCAGAGAGCAGAGGCAGTGATTCCACAATGCCAGGTGCACCAGGGCCACTGTATTCTTGGGGATTGCTGCTCCCTGGTGTTGTGTGTGTGTGTGTGTGAGGCTGGTGTGTGCCAGTGGGACAGCCTGACACAAGGCCTGGCACAGAATATGCTCAGTGAGTGACTGAGATTAATCAGAATTGCATTTGTAGATGAACCGAGCTGAGCACAGGCATGTGGGGAAAAATAGCATCACTAAGCCTTATGAAATGAGGGCTAGAGGTGGGAAGGAAAGGGGGGATGAGTGAGGACCAGCTGTCAGGGGAGGGCCTGGCACGGCCCAGACCCAATGGGAACCCCTATTCCCAGTCCAGACATCTTTGGGCCCTGCTCATGAAGCAGAGTCGTCTGGGGTAAATACCCAAGATTTATTTTCTCATGGCCATGGAAATCTAGGACGTGGACACACCATTGTGAGGTTAAAAGTGAGAATTAAATTGACAAAAGAAAGAGAAGAACTCTCTGTGCAGAGGGGTCGTGGAGAAAATGGTTTGCTGCTTCCGTGGTGAAATGCAGATTTTGTAGATGAGTTTGCGGAGACAGTGTCTGATTTACACTGGGCACAAAAGATGGTCAGATCAGGTGTGCCATTCGCAGAGTGCCTGAAGAAGCTGGCCACCCCATTCTCATCTTTTCTTATGCAGATGGGTTCTCTCCATGGCCCCAGCCATGTTGCCTGGTTCTTTACTATACATGTGAGTGATAAAGAAAAGGGAAGAAGGACTTCCGTGTTGAACATACCTGGCTTCCAGGTAGCCCGTGTCTACTGGCACAGCTGTCAGCATTCACACATGCAAGCTTCCAGCTTGTTTATCTATGTCTGCAGCTCAATTTTTCAGACTGCTTGTTGTTAGAAAAGAGATGATTCGAGGGCTGGTTTTTGTTAAAAGGGAAATTCCGCCGAGGACCCTGGTGCCCTTACTGTCTGCCTAAATAATTTCTTTCTAGCTCCTGTATCAATCAGACCTCCCATGGAGAGGGACAATTCAGAGCTGATGTCCACCTACCACTGGGAGGGATACCCCTTCCATGCCCTCTGCCCCTGGGGGGAAGGGACGGTGGGTGCAGCACAGCTTTCAGCGTCAGACAATCCTGAATTCAAAACCCAAACAAGCATTGGAAATCAGCCAATGAGCCTCGCTTCCTCACCTAAAAATGGGACTAGTAAAGCCAGTTCAGACAGTTAATACAACAAGGTACATCATATTTGGGATGTGACCCACCCAATAATTCTGGCACAAACTGGTAATCATCAGCCCCCGTACCCCTCACTGTTCTGGGAGGGAAAGTTGTTAGCAGGAACACTGACTGAGAGTGGTTTTTCAGGAAGAACTTTAGAGCCCAGGGTGGAGGCAAGCCAGAGCACACGGAACCTGCTCAGGATTTTCCTTGGGTTGGGGAATGCTGGAAGGAGACAGAGGAACACCCAGGCAGCCGCATAAAGGGGCGTATTTTCTGCCCGTAATACTCTGATTCCGTGGTGCAGCTCGAGGGTTCCAGGCTGAAGACCACTTAGTCTCCTCAGCAGGTGACGGTCTATGCTCCAGGGCTTGTCACCGTGCCGCATTTCCTCAGCCAAAGGCCTCCCACCTGACTTGTCCTAGCAACGATGTCAGTCCCTCTGGGAGTGGAACAAACTCAAGGCTGCAGGCACTCAGTGAGCACTTGTGGACGCTGAGAGCTGATTGAGGAGAAGGGGTGGGGGCCGGACCCAGGTGAAAAGAATGGGAGGGAAGCCACACAGGTCTGCATGCTCCCAGCTCAGTAAGAACAGCCAGGACCCTCCTCTCCACCAGCTCAGCTCAGCGCCCATCTCTGCTAAACAACTGCACAAGCTGCCTCCTTGTCCACCCCATGCTGTCCCCGAAACGGATTTTCTGAAATGCCGTCACCACCTCCATTCACCTACTTGCTCCAGTCACTGTAGCCATAAACACAAATAAGGCACCAAGGTCCCCACCCTCGAGGGGCTCACATCTAAAGCCGATGCACCCCAAGTCACTAACGACATTCAGAGAGGTAAATGGGGAGTACACTGGGGTTGGGGATTTTCCAGGCTTTGGAGGAAGCAGCGCTCAGAGAGCTGAAGGTGAGGGAGAGTGTGCACCTCTAGGAACCGCATGGAGTTCAGTTCAGCAGCCAGGAAGCGCAGGAGGATCTGACCCAAACTCTGGGGGCCGTGGAGAGGGAAGAGTCTCTTTGGAGGAAGCTACCAAGGAAGAAGGTGCCTGAAGGATAACCTAATCACTACGACAGTTGGTGGACCGTAGCCGACAGAGAGCCTGAGAACAGAGAGATGTTGGTTTACTCGGGCCCTGCAGCATGGCTGAGAACGAGAGGCAGTGGGAAGCTGGACCGGGCAGGGCAAACACAGCCCCATGAGGGCAGGAAGATGAGAGAAGTGAGCTCCACACAGGAGCTCATATGTGTGGTCTGAAGACAAGGCTGTGAGGCTGGGGGGATTAGCTTGCTCTGAGATTCCAAGCGGGACTCTGGTTTCTAGAATCTTCAGTGAGGACATGGCCTGAAGCCTAAGGGAGACACTGGCTACGGTTCTAGAAGTAGGGGCCTGACCTTGCGTTTACTGCGAACTGTAGGCAGAGTAAACTGGACTCAGGGCATGTAATCCTAAAAGCGGTTTTCTCAATCAACGGACTTAAGCAACTTGTTCCATGGCTATAATCCTTCCCTTGACTTATGGTTACAGTTAAGCCATAGAAATCCCTGCTATCACTTTTAGTCTGAAAACAGAGTCTCAATTTGGATATTGTAATGCCCAGTGCCATAGCTAACGCAGCACTTCAGTCTTCATAAAGGTGAGGCTTCTGCTCCCTGCCCGTCCCACCCCCAGCTAGGGCTGCTGCAGGGTCTGCCCACCTTGGGAAAAGGGGATGTGTCCAGCTTGTCATGTTTCTCACTCTCTGCCTCCCCACTAGAGAACTGCTAAGTCTGACCCCTGGGAGCTGCCGTTTGAGGAGGGGGAGGAGTTGTAGGGAGCAAGAAAGCTCTGGCTCGAGTAGGACGCTCCTAAGAAGACTCTGGCTCATGGTCCTGGACGAAGCCTAAGGTGGACTCTTCCCTGTGGATGCCCTGGTCGGATACGAAGGAGGTTCCCTGGTGGGGACGCCCCTGTGCACTCTTCATTGAGCGCTGCACCCCTGATCCAGGGCCCACTTTGCTTCCTCCACACCCTCCGCACTTCTGGCGGTTCACTGCCAGATCCTCCTAGCTGAGGACCCAGCCTCCATAGGGAGCATGTGGAACAGGATGGAAGATCTCAATACTGTCTTTTTCATATATGTGGCCCACATCTAGTTCACATAAATACATGCCAAAGAATCACTCCCACAATCTTTGCCCAACCTCAGGGTACAGGCCAATCCCAAACCAACGACTCCCAACCACCCAACCTGCAGACTCCCCCAGGACATCCACAGGGAAGAGTCCGCCTTATGCTTGGTCCAGACCCAGGAGCCAGAGCCTTCTCAGGAATATCCCACTCAAGTCAGAGCATTCCTGCTCCCTACAACTCCTCCCTCCTCCAACCACAGCTCCCGGACAACACACTTAACAGTTCTCAAGTGGGAAGGAAGTGGGTGAGAAGCAGCGAGGAAGCCACAGGCTCTTTCCCTTTATGTATTTTAGGCTTGAGTCTGACCTGGTCCACAGTGCTCCAACGGAGGGGCACACCACCCCCGCCGCCAGCTCTCCACGCTTCCCTGCCAACACTCCTGGACCCAAAACTACACTTGGGGCAAGGGGCAAGTAGCCCCACAGCCCTTTCCCCCTAGTTAGGAAAAGGCAGCAAAGATTTGTCTAAATAAATATTTATAAAATCCTTTTGTATCCCCCTGATAGAGTCTTTGGAGTTGCAAATTCAGTTCTTAGTATTTCCTTTACAAATCTGCTCTTTATTTTGTAATTTTTATGTACATTGTATCTTTTTTTCTATACATTTTATTGTAGTTTAATATACGTAAGGTAAATCTTACCATTTTTCAATATAGAGTTCAGTAATATTAAGTACACTCATTGGGTTGAGCACCCATTACCACCATCTATCTCCGTAACGCTTTTCATCTTCGCAGATTTTACCCATGAAAACACTAATGAAACTTCGCACCCATTAAACAATAACTCCCAAGCCCTCCTCCACCCGTCCCTGGCAGCCACGATTCTACCTTCTGTGTCTATGATTTTAACTCCTCTAGGCATCCCATTTGAATGGAGCCATGCAGCGTTTGTCCTCGTCCCAAATGCTGCATGGTTCCATTCATCTAAGGTCGATCAACTCTTAACAAGGGGCATTCTTAAATAGCAGCTAAGAATGTTGTTTCTGTTGCTTAAGTCACCGATTTCTGGTCCTTATGATGACAGCCCTAGTTATAGGCTCTAAGGAAAAAAGGCAGCAAGAGACTGGGTGTCAATGATCGACTGTTGTTTGTGAGAGGTCAAGATTTCAATGTGAGCTCTTAATCACCTAGTAAACTCTCTATTGTTTTCTTATGTATTTATTTCTTGGCCACTCAAAAGTTTTCTTTCATTCAGCATAATGTCAAGGTCATCCTTGTTGTAATATGTGTCAGCAATGAATTCCTTCTCTCCTTTTTTTTTTTTTAGACCCAC